TGCGGACGTACCAGGTACGACCGACAAAAAAATGGCCCTTAAGGACCTCGGACGTACCTGGTACGTCAGCGGCTATTTTGAGCGCTGGAAGCTTCCAGCCGCTCTGATGGAATTCCACGATGCCTCGATATCGGGGACCGAGTGATCACCCCCCCACCCCCGGAACGATCACTTCCGGGTTTGCCACATGTGGTGCCTGGCAGTGTAGGGAAGGGCATCTGAAGCCATCCGTTTACTGAGTATATTAAAAAAATTGCAAAAAAATTAACCCCTACTCTCCCTCCCCCCTTCCCTATGTACTTACCGATCACCGCGTTCCCCTGCCGGCGTTCGGTCTTCTTCTTTGGGGGGACTCTCTGGATTGAGCCCAGAGAGTCCTCCCTCTCCAATTTAGGACCCCCAGGGGCCATGTGACCGCTCTAAAAGAGCAGTCACGTGGCCCCCATAGGTGTCCATTGTGCTGCCAGCAGGGGGACTGCCTGAACTGACAGACAGTCCCCCTGCTGGTTAAAGAGTAAAAATAAAGTTAGTAAAAGTTAAATAAATAAAAGTTTTAAAAAAATGTGTATATGAACGGCATTCAGGAGCAGACGCCATTTCACCCAGCTCATCGATCATCGCCCTAAAAAAACACCTTTAATCGGCTTATCGCCAAACATCCAGGGCCATAACAGTGATCTTTGCACTGGGGTCCACATAACGGACCTGTGGATGCCTTTTATATGCCCATTGGGCATGAAAACCCGGTGCAAAGTGCCTCGGGCCTACCGGGCGGGACTACCGCGGCAGCCGCGCATTACCTCCTGGGATGGAGACTACTGGGACACAAACCTACAAGCAGCCAACCTACCTTGGGGCATACCAGAAGCCTTGATGGGCCGCAAGTCACAAAAACCGGCTCCGGGCGCATCTGCCTCAAATCACGATATCGGCCAGATGCTGACCTCGACGCCCTGCATGCGGGAACCTTCATCCCCCCGGCAGGAGACTACAACTGACCCAGTGGTAGAAAAGGTACCTGGGAATGGAGCTCAGGCTACGCCTGAAACAGAACCACCTGTGACAAAGCGGGACATCCATGATCTCCTGGCACACTTCCAGGACATGTTCTTTACAGAACTTAACCTGGTTAAAACAGAAATGCAAGCTATCACAGAACGCCTTCGAGCATCTGAGGAGGACACTGCTGACATGAAGCTAAATATGACCACCCAAGGGGAATCTATAAAGCAGCTACTAACCTCCCACTCCCAAATAGCAGCCAGAATGGATGCACTTGAAGACAAGAGCAGACAAAACAACATAAAGATAAGAGAAGTGTATGACACCGTACCAGAAGAAGAACTACCTCACCTCATCAGGCGACTCAATGCAGCCGACAACCAAGCACACTAAACAGTTTGCTTATGACGGGCTATACCGCATCGCAACACCCTCGCAAATGCCAAACACCCAGCCTAGGGACATTATACTCTGCTGTCGATCCTTTGCGAATAAACAACGATTGCTACAGGCACTGTGGAGGAATGCGAATCAGCCGCATAATGGTAAGGGAGGAAGAGCGCCCCTTGTTAATGATATCGCAAGCTGACGAGTTGTCGAAATAGCATTTTACTGCCTTGCCGGACCAGAGGTGACCAAAGGTGTGTGCGGCCGCCACGATGGGGTAAATTTCAAAAGGGGCTGAAGTTTCTCTAAAACCCGGCAAGGCATCCATCTCAGCGGGTCAGTGACCCCTAAACCAGTGATTACCGAATATAGCTGTGAAACCCGTGTTGGCTGCAGCGTCAGTGTAAATGCAGGGTGAGGAGTTGGAGAGAGGGGGAATAAACATGGAGCTACCGTTCCACTCACTCAAAAAGTTCCCCACATGAGTAGGTCAGCTTTGGCGTGCTGGTCCAACGCAATTGGGCAGGTATCCGGTACCCCGTGAAGCAGACAAAGAAGCCTGGACACAAAAGACCTTCCCTGCGGAATGATGCGCATTGCAAAATTCAGGGACCCCAATAAGGACTGAAGTTCTTTCCTGGTGCATACATCATTCCGTAGGAACATATCTATCTCCCCTCTCAGGCGGACCAGTTTTTCGGGGGGAATGCTGGCGCGGAAGGTACCAGAGTCCAGCTCTATCCCCAAGAAAGTAAAATTAGTAGTGGGGCCAATCGTTTTAGAGGGAGACAAAGGTACCCCGAGAGTGGAGAAAAGTGCTGAGGTGCTGAGGATATCGGTGGGTGTGCGTGCGCTCGGTTCTATTATGAGAAAGTTGTTCAAGTAATGAATGACGGCGTGACACCTAATAATGAAGCAGCCAGCATAGAGTTTCTGCGAAAATATCAAACAGTTTAGGGCTGCTTCTGGACCCGAAAGTGAGAAAATAGTACCTGTTTCGACATTTAACACCGTGCAAGTGCCAAAGAGATGGGTGCATGGGCAGTAATTTGAATTCATTGGTTATGTCTGTTTTACTAAGCCAAGCGTTGCTACCAGTTGAAATGATGGTTTGTATAGCGTCGTCGATTTTTACGTACTGTAGTGAGAATTCATCTGCAGGAATGAGTGCATTAATGCTGGGAACAAAAGAAGAGTGCGGTGCCGATAAATCAATAATCATGCACTTTTTATTTGAGTATTTGTGTACAGCTATGCCAATGGGGTTAGTGCGCCAGGAGGAAAACGGTAAGGAGGTGAAGGGGCCGATCATGAAACCTTGTGCTATTTCTGTGGAAAGGAGAGCGTCCGTGGCCTCTGGGTCTAGGCAGGCTGATAGGAGATTGGGGGCATTCCAGCGTGCCTGAGGGAATGGCTATGAGACCCGTGAGAAAGCCCTGGGTGAACCCTGTTAACAAATATTCCACTAGATGTCTACTTGGATGAGTTTTCAAGTAAAAAGCCAGGTTGTCGATATTAATGTTGGTTAGTCACTTGCTAGGGGACAACCTGGCCGGGCACATGGTCTTAATATGTGCCCTTAAGCAGATAGAGCAGATGTGCAACAATCTACAGGCGCTGAAACTGCAGGAACCTGCATTGAAATTGTTGCACACCTGAGCTTTCCCTAAAAAGGAGATGGGCCTACCCAGTTTATCCCGCTGACCACCTTCATGTTTATTGTGAGGAGTGGAAGTGGATTGAGGGGTGGGAATGGGGGTGGATGGATCAGCCACAGAAGGGCACAAATCAGCCAAGTGAGTTGAAGAATTACATATGGCACAAGACGGGGGCCTCAGACCAGCGAAGTGGCGACAGAATAATTCTGCATCCATCTGACACCAGTTGATTCTTATGTTAAATTGTTTCAGATGTGTCGCCGCTTTCACTGATATCGATTTATGATAATCATAAAAAGATGAGCCCCCGTACTTGACGCCCAAATCCACCACTTTATGGAGATAGAGGTCCAGTTCCTCTCTCCTGTGGGGATATACAGAGCAAATGACATCACGGTATTTCCCGAAGGCCAAAATGAAATTGGGAATAGATAGTTTTTTGTTGAGCCTAGGGTCTCTGGTTTTAAGAACCACCGAAATATCCCCAAACTTATAAGCCCTGTTCTCCAGCACGTCTTGGGAGGCTATAAGCAATGACACCAGCCACACGTGCTTCCCATCTAGGATTTCTTTCCTAATGGAGTCTGGGACGGAGTAAGCTGGTGACACAAAAGGAGATGTATCTGAGGCAGGAGCTGAAGGGGGAAGTATAGGGGCGGGTGTTGGTGCCGGGGTGAGGGCTGAGAGGTCAGGAATGTTACCTGGGGGGGCTATGGCACTCTCCACCTTGCTTAACCTGCTGTTCAAGGTCTGCAGGTTGGCCAGGATTGCCGCAAGGGTGTCCTGGGTGGCTGTGCCGGCGCCAGATGGTTGACCTTGAGAGCTAGTGCCTGGCCTAGCCTCAGGGGCTTGGTTTGTCAAAAGTCTGTAGAGTTCCGCCTTATGAGCCGTAGCAGGAAAGGGGATGCCCCTAAGCCTAAGTTCGGTCATAAATTTTGGAATAGTCCATGCTCTCAAAGACGTAGGGGTAGAAGGGGCGAGAGATACGCCTGGAGACTCGGGTCTGATAGGAGTGCATGGTATCTCCTCAGTAGGCAACTCGTCAATGGGAGATGTATCTTGCAACATTCTAGAAATAATTTAATGAATTGGATTTAGTAGGGGTGTCTGAGAAAATTTATAACGTTATATATAAGATATATATATATATATATAACTTCCACAAGAAAAGGCTGCTCTCCGGACTTAAAATCAAAGATTTTATTGAAAATATTTAAAAATGATGACCAACGTTTCGGTCTCCGATCGGGACCTTCCTCAGGGTCAGAGACAACAGGACAACAATAAACAGTATACAAAGTGACAATATATACCATTACATTAAGTGAAATGACTCACCCAGGTGTTCTATTCTCATTTCCCGCCGGCACCCAGTGAATTTCCGGGTATGCGCGCGCACGTCAATACGTGCTCCGCCCCTTCATCATACTATGTTACGTGCCGACGTACTCCCGGTCACATAGACCGGTCTCCTTAGCAACCATATATACAAAGACCCCTCTTACAACAAAAGGAGTCTATACCAAGATAGAGAATAGGGAAGAAAAAATTAATGCCATACATAAGTAATATAAGTGCTTATTTTAAAACAAATCTTGTGATGGGCTCATTGTGTATCATATATCCCTAACCACAAGAACACCTAGTGAACCTAGGTAAGTGACACTTCATTAAAGTGATAATAAAGCCACTAAAATTTGACCCATCAGTGTATGAGCCCTAGTTATAGTTAAATGTGAAATTGCACTCATCAGTGAATCAAAAAAAATTCATATATAAAATTTTTAAAGTGATAGCATGCATATAATAAAGTGCATTATAAGTGCTCATAAGCAACATATGTGTAATCAAATATATCATACATATAAAAACACTTTGGCATAATTATAGACACACTGCTCCTGAGAAATTCATTAAACATAAAAATATTTAAAAACAATAGTAACAAGCTGGTTAAACCTATATAAAAGAATGATACGTGATGCTCTCATTAAGACCCATGGGAGATATTGTATTTAATTGGTGTATCCAAAAAGCCTCTTTCTGAAGCAACATCTTCCCCCTATTACCCCCCTGCGGGGAAGGGGTATATGATCAATACCCACAAATTTAAGGGATGCTAAGGGATGTTTTTTATCAAGAAAGTGCCGAGCAACTGGCTTATCAGACTGGCCATCCCTGTACGCTAATCTTATACTCGAGCGGTGGCCCCTAATCCTCTCACACAGAGGTGTTTCTGTCTTTCCTACGTAATAGAGGCCACACGGACACACCAATTTATATACAACAAAGGGGGTTTTACAAGTAATAGTGTGTCTTATATCATATATTTTATTAGTATGTGGGTGATTAAATTTCTTTGCTGGAATCATATGTCCACAAGTAATACACCCCAGACATCGTATGCTTCCCCGTATGTTGTGCTTGACTGTTTTAGAATAACTTTCCACAGGGTCTGTACGTACTAACATGTCCTTAAGACTCTTATTTCTCCTGTAGCAAATTAACGGAGTCTCTTTAAAAATCTTTGGCAGGGTGTCATCCGTAGCAATCATTTTCCAATTGTCTTTAACAATTGTTGAAATCAAATTAGAAGAATTATGAAACGTCATCGGAAATACTATTTTCTGTACAGGATCCATCTTTTGCACCGGGGCCAATTTTGCCTTCAACAGTGCTTCTTCTAGTACCTGAATGTTATAACCTCTGTTCAAAAACTTCTGGGTCATGATTTTCAATTGTAACTCAGCCTTATTTATATCAGAATTGTTGCGAATGACTCGCTGGAATTGTGCTTTAGGAATAGATTTTTTCAACGAAATGGGATGTGCACTCCTAGCGTGTAAAAGAGTATTCCGATCAGTCTGTTTCGAAAATAATGTGTATTGGACTCTATTGTCTCCATAGGAAAGTTCTAAGTCCAGGTATTGGACACTTTCCTCACTGATATTGGCTGTAAACTTGATAGGAGTTGGCAACAAATTTAACTCCTCCACCATCATATGTGCCTCCGTTTGTGAGCCTCGCCAGATGATCAACAGGTCGTCTATATAACGATAATATCCAATAATGTTATTCTTATATGTGGTCAATATATGCTGTGTTTCATATGCATACATGTACGCATTGGCATACATAGGGGCCATGGCTGACCCCATAGATGTTCCCGCCACTTGTAAGTACCACCGATCCTCAAATCTAAAATGATTGTTATGAAGGATCAACGACAAAAGCTCCAGAATAAATTCTATCGGTGGACCATGGTACATCGAAGACTCACATAACACCTGTCGCATCGCCTCAATACCTCCAATATGAGGGATGACTGTGTACAGGCTCTTGACATCCATAGTAATGAATATTGGAACCCTTCCTTGGAACTCCAAGGACTTAATTCTACTCAAGAGCATTTGTGTATCCTTAATACATGTACTCAGTGCCTCAACTGGTCCTTTAAAAACAAAATCTAACCATTGTGCTATGGGTTCTAAAATCCCCCCAATAGCTGAAACAATGGGACGGCCAGGAGGTCTTTCTGGATCTTTATGAATCTTGGGTATACTATAGATAATTGGAGTGCGGGGATGTTGTTTATTCAAAAACTGAAATAGATCAAGACTGATATAACCAGCCCTAAGTCCCATCTCTAATACATCACTGATTTTCCTCTGAATTTCGAGTGTAGGATCCCTTGGTAACATACAATAGGTGTTCAAATCCTGTAATTGTTGTTTAAGGTCATCTGCATAATCAGTATAGTTCATAAGTACGATACCTCCTCCCTTATCCGCTGAGCGGATCACTATAGAAGGGTCCTTAGCTAGGTTATCAATCAATTGTCGTTCTTTCTTAGTTATATTTTGTGATCTTTCACGTTGCTGGACACCAGTATTCTGTGTCATCTTGGACATTGTTGTCAAAAAAGTTTTAATTGAAGATTTGGTAGTTTGTGGGTCAAATGTAGATTTATTCTTAAATTTCTCTAACCCCATACAAGTTGATTGTGGTTTGTCTTTATCCATAGTGTGAAAAAACTCTTTAAGCCTCATATTTCTTCCAAATTGAAACAACTCAGTACTCCATTTAAAGGGGTTAATAAAACTTGTAGGGACATATGATAGACCCTTACTAAGAATGTTAACTTCTGTTTCACTGAGTTGTCTATGGGAAAGGTTAAAGATGGGGGTTATTTCCGTTGAGGGGGTTTGCCCCTTAATACTGTTTTTACCCTTGCGCCCTCTCCTATTCCTATATCTTCGTCGCTCCTGACTTTGCTCCTGGTGACTGTGCCTTGTTCCGTATGACCTAAAAAAGTTGCTGTATCATTGGGGATTTCATTCTCTGAAGCTGATTCCCCAGAGGTTATATCAATAGTTGTAACCTTTGGTCGGATAATTCTTTTGCGGAACCTCCTTGGTCTGGGAGGGCGTTCACCCGATAACCATCTATATACACGGTGGTCTTGGTAATCTTGTTGAACCCTCTCATACTTCTGTTTTTTAAATCTCACTAATTCATTTTTATATTTCAGAAGTTCCACTTTTAGTTGTTGTTGCAATTTCACTCCATCAGCTGAAGCCAATAGAACTGCTTGTTCAGTCTCCAACGCAATAATTTTCTGTTTAACCTCTGTTAAATCAGTTTTTACATCTTTAATCGTTATAAGCATAAGGTCCAAAGAAGCTTTGTTTAAAACGTGTGTCCAATCCCTACATACAGCTGCTTTAAGTCTTCCAATAGTTGGTATATTTAGTAATCTAAACCCACGTGGAATCATTTTAGCCTTATAATAGTCGGATAGAAATAAACCATGTAAGTCCAAGTCCACACTTTTTTTATGCAATCTTAATAACTTGAAATAGACATCTCTAGACGTAGTTAAATTAGGTAACTCTTGACTGGATTGCTCCCATAGAATGTGAGATGCATCTTCAGGTGTAAATTGCAGTGTTTCTGCATGTTCTACAAAAGCACCAGCTTGTACTAAAAATTCCTCCATATCACAAAACAAGAGGAGATTAGACCAATGAACAGTAATATAATTGTCAAATATTGTAGGATCTAAAAAATGCTCAATATAATTAACGTGCCAACACAGTTGCACTATATGCAGGTGCACAAAAGGGAGGAGGTAGAGCCCCACACTCCTAGAAATACAAAAAAACTATCAACATCCCCTGCACTCACGCTTGAAGTATTCCAAATGCCGGGCGCACCACCAAAGCTCCAATAGGTATAACTTCCACAAGAAAAGGCTGCTCTCCGGACTTAAAATCAAAGATTTTATTGAAAATATTTAAAAATGATGACCAACGTTTCGGTCCCCGATCGGGACCTTCCTCAGGGTCAGAGACAACAGGACAACAATAAACAGTATACACAGGGCCGGCGCTACCATAAGGCGGCCCAGGCGGCCGCCTTAGGGCGCACCAGCCCTGGGGGCGCGACATCAGGCAGACAGGAAGGAGGGAAGCGCACCTGGCTCCCCTCCAGCTGGTTACTACCGAGCGCAGCCCAGAGATTCCCGCCCGCGGAGCTCAGCCTCGGCCCGCCCACCTCCTATCCTGGTGTCTGCCGCAGGCTGTGTGGAGGGGGCGGGGATATGAATGACATCATATCCCTGCTCCCTGTGTCCCACACAGCGCGGCTGGCGCCCTGTGATGGGGCTGGGTTGCAGGACTGGACTCCACAGAGCCGGACAGCATGCACCCAGGGGACAAGATTTAACAGATGTAAGTATGTAATTATATATGTCTGTGTATGTATGTCTCTGTATGTATGTCTGTATGAATGTGTGTCTGTATGTCTCTATGTATGTCTCTATGTATGTCTCTGTATGTATGTATGTATGTCTCTGTATGTATGTCTGTATGAATGTGTGTCTGTATGTCTCTATGTATGTCTCTATGTATGTCTCTATGTATGTATGTATGTATGTATGTCTCTGTATGTCTCTGTCTGTATGTATGTCTCTGTATGTATGTATGTATGTCTCTGTATGTGTGTATGTCTGTATGTCTGTGTATGTATGTCTCTGTATGTATGTATCTATCTCTATGTATGTATGTCTCTGTATGCATGCATGTATCTGTATGCATGCATGTATGTAACTAAATGTTTGTTTGTCTCTGAATGTCTGTATATATGTCTCTGTATGCATGTGTGTAACTGTATGCCTTTATGTCTCTGTATGTACGTATGTGTCTGTGTGTCTCTGTATGCCTGTATGTCTTTGTATGTATGTTTATGTATGTATGTCTGTATGACGGTTTGCCTCTCTATGTATGAATGTTTGTATGTGTCTGTATGCCTGTATGTCTTGTATGTATGTTTCTGTATGCCTGTACGTCTCTGTATGTATGCCTGTATGTCTTTGTATGTATGTTTCTGTATGCCTGTATATATGTATGTCTCTGTATGCCTGTATATATGTATGTGTCTGTATGGCAGTATGTCTCTGTATGCATGCATGTCTTTGTATGCCTGTATGTATGTGTCTGTATGTATGTATGTGCCTGGATGTCTTTGTATGTATGTTTCTGTATGTATGTATGTGTCTGTATGACGGTATGCCTCTGTATGTATGCATGTTTTTATATGCCTTCATGTCTCTGTATGCATGTATGTCTTTGCCTGTATGTCTGTATGTCTCTGACTGACTGTATGTGTCTAAATGTCTCTGTATGATTATTTCTGTGTTTGTATGACTGTGTGACTGAAAAATTATGCCTGTGGCTTGGGAGGAAATACACACAGGTGAAGATGCATTTTTTTTTTTTAAAGGAGGTTGAGGGGCACCAAAATGCATGTTCGCCTGTGTAACTTAAAATCCTAGCACCGGCACTGAGTATACAAAGTGACAATATATACCATTACATTAAGTGAAATGACTCACCCAGGTGTTCTATTCTCATTTCCCGCCGGCACCCAGTGAATTTCCGGGTATGCGCGCGCACGTCAATACGTGCTCCGCCCCTTCATCATACTATGTTACGTGCCGACGTACTCCCGGTCACATAGACCGGTCTCCTTAGCAACCATATATACAAAGACCCCTCTTACAACAAAAGGAGTCTATACCAAGATAGAGAATAGGGAAGAAAAAATTAATGCCATACATAAGTAATATAAGTGCTTATTTTAAAACAAATCTTGTGATGGGCTCATTGTGTATCATATATCCCTAACCACAAGAACACCTAGTGAACCTAGGTAAGTGACACTTCATTAAAGTGATAATAAAGCCACTAAAATTTGACCCATCAGTGTATGAGCCCTAGTTATAGTTAAATGTGAAATTGCACTCATCAGTGAATCAAAAAAAATTCATATATAAAATTTTTAAAGTGATAGCATGCATATAATAAAGTGCATTATAAGTGCTCATAAGCAACATATGTGTAATCAAATATATCATACATATAAAAACACTTTGGCATAATTATAGACACACTGCTCCTGAGAAATTCATTAAACATAAAAATATTTAAAAACAATAGTAACAAGCTGGTTAAACCTATATAAAAGAATGATACGTGATGCTCTCATTAAGACCCATGGGAGATATTGTATTTAATTGGTGTATCCAAAAAGCCTCTTTCTGAAGCAACATCTTCCCCCTATTACCCCCCTGCGGGGAAGGGGTATATGATCAATACCCACAAATTTAAGGGATGCTAAGGGATGTTTTTTATCAAGAAAGTGCCGAGCAACTGGCTTATCAGACTGGCCATCCCTGTACGCTAATCTTATACTCGAGCGGTGGCCCCTAATCCTCTCACACAGAGGTGTTTCTGTCTTTCCTACGTAATAGAGGCCACACGGACACACCAATTTATATACAACAAAGGGGGTTTTACAAGTAATAGTGTGTCTTATATCATATATTTTATTAGTATGTGGGTGATTAAATTTCTTTGCTGGAATCATATGTCCACAAGTAATACACCCCAGACATCGTATGCTTCCCCGTATGTTGTGCTTGACTGTTTTAGAATAACTTTCCACAGGGTCTGTACGTACTAACATGTCCTTAAGACTCTTATTTCTCCTGTAGCAAATTAACGGAGTCTCTTTAAAAATCTTTGGCAGGGTGTCATCCGTAGCAATCATTTTCCAATTGTCTTTAACAATTGTTGAAATCAAATTAGAAGAATTATGAAACGTCATCGGAAATACTATTTTCTGTACAGGATCCATCTTTTGCACCGGGGCCAATTTTGCCTTCAACAGTGCTTCTTCTAGTACCTGAATGTTATAACCTCTGTTCAAAAACTTCTGGGTCATGATTTTCAATTGTAACTCAGCCTTATTTATATCAGAATTGTTGCGAATGACTCGCTGGAATTGTGCTTTAGGAATAGATTTTTTCAACGAAATGGGATGTGCACTCCTAGCGTGTAAAAGAGTATTCCGATCAGTCTGTTTCGAAAATAATGTGTATTGGACTCTATTGTCTCCATAGGAAAGTTCTAAGTCCAGGTATTGGACACTTTCCTCACTGATATTGGCTGTAAACTTGATAGGAGTTGGCAACAAATTTAACTCCTCCACCATCATATGTGCCTCCGTTTGTGAGCCTCGCCAGATGATCAACAGGTCGTCTATATAACGATAATATCCAATAATGTTATTCTTATATGTGGTCAATATATGCTGTGTTTCATATGCATACATGTACGCATTGGCATACATAGGGGCCATGGCTGACCCCATAGATGTTCCCGCCACTTGTAAGTACCACCGATCCTCAAATCTAAAATGATTGTTATGAAGGATCAACGACAAAAGCTCCAGAATAAATTCTATCGGTGGACCATGGTACATCGAAGACTCACATAACACCTGTCGCATCGCCTCAATACCTCCAATATGAGGGATGACTGTGTACAGGCTCTTGACATCCATAGTAATGAATATTGGAACCCTTCCTTGGAACTCCAAGGACTTAATTCTACTCAAGAGCATTTGTGTATCCTTAATACATGTACTCAGTGCCTCAACTGGTCCTTTAAAAACAAAATCTAACCATTGTGCTATGGGTTCTAAAATCCCCCCAATAGCTGAAACAATGGGACGGCCAGGAGGTCTTTCTGGATCTTTATGAATCTTGGGTATACTATAGATAATTGGAGTGCGGGGATGTTGTTTATTCAAAAACTGAAATAGTTTTTGAATAAACAACATTTTTTATATATATATATATATATATATATACACATATATAACATTATATTAATATAAAAATACACAGTAAAATTACACACTTGTGGGGGGTGGAGCCTGGCTGCTGCTGTGACTGGTCGCACGATCTTAGAGCTCCCAAACATGATAGCAAAATCGGACGATAAAATCGATTCTACTGCGCCCACAGTGTCTCAGGGGACCCCCCTTGCTAACAAGACCAAGATGGGACGCAAAACAAAGAAGCCCAGACCAGATAAGCCCAGCCTGGGGCTCACAATCGGGGACCTGTGGTGGCAAGCGCATGGTGCCACTGGGCCCAAGATGGCCACCCTCACCAGAGGCTGCTCTGATTATTCCGAAGACGACTCATTGGGAGCCGAGGAATACCCGCTGGCACCAGAGAGACCCATGCGGAGACCACAGCACCCGGATGCGTCCCCGGTGACAAAATCAGTGCTACTGGAGATGTTGGCCGAGCTCCAGAGAAACATCTCAGCGGACATAGCAACAATCCGCGGGGACCTAAAGGGCCTCACAGGCCGTATCGAGAAACTTGAACTTACCACCACAGAGAACTCCCAGCACCTAACGTCATTCCAGCAAACAGTGCAGGAACTGCAACTCCTAAAACCAGATATATGAACGCCGGTTCGCCGCCCAAGAAGACTCCCGGCACCAAAACAACCTGAAAATACGTGTAGTGGCGGAGGAAATACCAGATGAGGAGTTGCCAAACTTGGTAAGACGCCTAATTGGGGCTTTACTACAACCCCGACAGGCTAACTCAGTGGTGATCGAGGGCCAATTCCGTGTACCCAAACCTCTCAGGGCCCCGAACACAGCGTCCAGGGACCGGGTGGTCCATTTCAGAAGTGGATCCGATAAAGCTGCGGTTCTAATGGCACTCAGGGACACTCATCTTTTCATTTTGAAAATATGCCCCTCACCATCTATGCTGAGAGCACCCTGGCATGGAGGAAATCGCTCCGGCCATTCACTGTGCTCCTGCAACAGAAAAACATCCAATGGATGGAAGCTTTCCCGCACATTGCTGGTGCAACAGGGAAACACTCCACACCCCATTCACAACCTTCAAGAGGCTGCCGGAATACTACCTTCACTAGGAATGCCTCCAAATGCGCTCACCCGAGACATTCAGTCTGAGACACCGCTCGCTCCCGTCTGGGACCCCGCAAACATCCCCCCTTTTGTCCCACGACGACGCACCCCTGATTCCTATGCGGCTGCAACCATCTAAATATGTGCAGCTAACAACCGGGACTCACTTGGACGCTTGCCTGTCCGGACTTGTGTTCAGTCCAGATCATTTTGTTTTATTATTTCAAGGCTCTCAAGTTCACTATAATTTTCTATGTATGATTTTAAAGTTAATTTTCCTTCAATCAGCTATGTGACACTGCTTAAATTGATGCATGCACCAGAAATGCCTACCTAGGCTACTAACATACGTGCAAACACAACATTTTCTGACAAGTATCGTCTCACTTCTAATGAAGTGAATGCCCGGTGGTCCCACAGCTCACCAGTTTAATGATAATGTTATTGTTTAGCATGTTCTCTGCACTCTATAACGTCAGGTTTATAGCTGTCTACGCTCTGACAGTCTACCTAACCCCGCTAAGCTACGCTATAGGCTGTGAATCTTGCCTGCTTAAATCGAATTATACCCTTGCAACATTCTTATGTCACATAAACACTAAACTCCATTTTGAAGCTAGATACATTCAGCTCGTATACAAAACTATAAAAATAGGCATTTTATCTATGTACCCATGACTGAACTAGTTAACGCTACACGGTAGATTAGCTTATATAGCAATCACCCTCACCACACTATCTCAACTCAGCTCTTTTCAATCTCAAGACAAACATATGCCAGTTTAACAAATAGCTTGTTCTTGCTATAGTTATGCCTGATTATTCAAATACACTAGTCATCGTGGCACAGCATCACAAACTGGTGCAAATGTCTATACCGTGTCATTGTTTTATTCTTAAGTTCAAACTCTGAATGCCAACGATATCAGGATGCCGCAAGCAAGTTCGATCTCAAACAAATAGATATTGTATAGACATGTCTGCATAGCTTATTACGTTTTTAAAACAAAAACTGTGCAAAATTTTCCAAGCCACTGTTTAATCTATCTATGTTTAAATATGAAGGTACGTTGTTGTGGCGTATAAATGTGTTTTGTACTCACCTGCACAACAAAAATAAAGAATTGTAAAAAAAAAAAAAAAATTACACACGTGTGTATATATATATATATATATATATAATATATATAATTTTATATATTATGTATATACAATATGACAAATAAATGATAATTGAAAATAAACTGTAAAAAAATTTAAAAAAAATTATGTATGTAAATGTCATTTTATTCTCACTGTATTTTGATATAAATATATATATATTTATTTAAATCAAAATACACGTAGAATTAAATTATATATATATCTATGTATAATTTCCCCTTAACGACCAAGGACAAACTAGGTACGTCCAACAAAAAACGGTCATTAAGGACGTCCATGATAGGAGCCCTGGACCGACGATCTGCGTCAATCACGGCCACCCTGGCCCTCCATGGCAGTTCTGGCCACCCTGGTCCTCCATGGCCATGTGATCACCATGAAAGAATATAAATAGATTCACACACACTAGAAAATACAGTATGTAAATATACCACCTATTGGAGATATAGGTATTGTGATTACACCTGTAAAACAAATAAAATACACATAGTGTTTTCCATACAACAAAAATACACAATGCTTATAATATATGAGGAATAAACTCACAAGGAAGGACCCGAATAGGCTCTATGTATATCGCCCTTGGGTGCCTATCCAGGCTCTCAATAAACTTCTTGTGAAGAACTCGAAATCCACGAGTAAAAATATAAATACAAATTTATTGGGTATACTTATTAAAAATATATATATATAGAAAAGGGACAAAGATAAGGCAGGTATGAAAATCGAATATAACACAGTATTGCACCGCAATTATGGCCAAAAATTAAAAGCAGTGAAAATACCAAAGTATATATACAATATAAAAATACCGCCAACAGAAAAAGTCCCAAGAAAAGTCCAGTGTGAAGCAAACGCATTTCAGCCCTCAATGGGGCCTTCCTCAGTGCTGTATTCCTGGAGCAACTTCAGGGTTTAAATAACCCCCTTGATCTGTCTAAATCTATTCAGCTGTGGTTCAAAAATGCCGCCGATCAAATCACTTCCGTTTTTTATCCTTGTAAAATGTGCCTACCGTGTAAGAATACCCTTTTCAAGAAAGATACACAGACTATGTTTAAGTCTAATGTCACAGGAAGCTGTTTTAAGATACGTGATATCGTCACATGTCACCCTACTAATGTGGTGTATCTCCTCTGGTGCCCCTGTGGACTCCAATATGTGGGTATGACCACTAGGAGTTTTAAAACCTGCATTATGGAACACATGGGGAACATACGGAGGGGATACACCAAACATAGTGTATCAGCACATTTTCTTGAACAACATAATGGTGACACCTTTCTTTTAAGTTTCATGGTGATTGGGAAGAAGCGGATGGATTGGAGAGGGGAGGATAATGTCCGAGAACTCAGTAAACTAGAGGGCAAATGGATTTTTACTTTAGATACCATGTGCCCTAAATGTCTTAATATAGATTTTGAGTTAGTTCATTTTTTATAATAATTTTTATCTATAATTGAAATGAGAAGAGAAATAATTTTAAAATATTTAAAAATATATTTTATATTTTTATATTCATATTTTATTATTTATTATCTCTCATTGGACATTTTCCCCTCAAATATCCATTCTGTTTTCTATATACATATATTTTTTTGAAGTTTTATATTTTATTAATATTTTTCTATCTTATTCACAGTTTAGGATTTATTATATGATTGGTTTTATTCTTAATTCTATTTTTGTTTTATTTGTATGTATGGGCAAATGCCCTTTGTTGATATGGACTCCCCTGACACTATTTCCACCATGCCTAGAGATGGAACGCATGGTGGAACGCAAAAGTAACACGTGACCATGCCGAACCGGAAGTCACGTGTGTATTGCCGAAACCGGAAGTGGTATTTGTTTTAGATTTGATTCTGTTTTTTATTCCGTGCTCTATTTAGATGTATGTTCTGTATTGATAAGAACTTTATTGACTCTATTTCCACCATGCTTGGAGATGGAACGCATGGTGGAACGCAGAAATAACACGTGACCATGTCAAACCGGAAGTCACATGCCTTTTGCCGAAACCGGAAGTGATTTGATCGGTGGCATTTTTGAAACACAGCTGAATAGATTTAGACACATCAAGGGGGTTATTTAAACCCTGAAGTTGCTCCAGGAATACAGCACTGAGGAAGGCCCCATTGAGGGCTGAAACGCGTTTGCTTCACACTGGACTTTTATTAGGACTTTTTCTGTTGGCGGTATTTTTATATTGTATATATACTTTGGTATTTTCACTGCTTTTAATTTTTGGCCATAATTGCGGTGCAATACTGTGTTATATTCGATTTTCATACCTGCCTTATCTTTGTCCCTTTTCTATATATATATATTTTTAATAAGTATACCCAATAAATTTGTATTTATATTTTTACTCGTGGATTTCGAGTTCTTCACAAGAAGTTTATCGAGAGCCTGGATAGGCACCCAAGGGCGATATATATATAGAGCCTATTCGGCTCCTTCCTTGTGAGTTTATTCCTCATATATTATAAGCATTGTGTATTTTTGTTGTATGGAAAACACTATGTGTATTTTATTTGTTTTACAGGTGTAATCACAATACCTATATCTCCAATAGGTGGTATATTTACATACTGTATTTTCTAGTGTGTGTGAATCTATTTATATTCTTTCACTCTGTTTTCTAGGTGTTAAGGGATTACACCTTTTTTCACACTCACTCTTACTGTTATATTTAAGATTGGAAGCGCCTACACAACTCATCTCGATCAAAAGACGTGCCTAGTACCTTCCCCCTTTGTTGGCGTGGGCATAGAAGAACCCCTTGGATCGCTGAATAGATCGGAGATAGCGTTTCGTAAGGATGTCCTTCAGGCGCCGTCTGGCTTGCATTAGTTCCCCGTATGTCTCCATCAGTCGGGATCGCTTGTGTCATTGTTCCAGTACCACGATCGTTTTGTAGAGTTCTGCCATCTCTTGCGTCGCTATCTATTTCTTTTGAGAGGCGATTCGGATGAGCGTACCCCGGATAACACTTTTATGTACTTCCCTGATCTAGATTGGGGAGGTCCCCTGCCCGTCATTGTCCTGAAAGTAGTGTTCCAGTGCCTGGGAGACCTGTTCGCGGACACCTGGGTCGAGAAGGAGGGCCTCATTAAGTCTCCATGTCAATTTAGAGGGCCGAAAAAGCAGTGATTCTAATTCGATCGTTACCGAGCCGTGATCTGACCATGTTGCGGGGTCCATCCTGGCGGATAGCAGCCACTGGAGGCCCACCTGTCGTATGAAAAAGTAGTCGATCCGTGAGTATCAATCATTCAATGCAGAATAGTATGTAAAGTCTCTGGTGGTGGGGTGGAGGGTTCTCCAGCAGTCCACAAGTTCCATGTCTCCGAGAGTCCTCTTCATGGATCGTGGAGTTGTTGGATGCTGCTATGTCTTGTCGAGGAGTCCATGATGGGGTCCAGTGGGGCATTAAAGTCTCCCCCCAGAACTAGGGTACCCTGCGAGAAGTCACTTAATTTGTTCAATGCCTTCCTGAGGAACTGAGCCTGTCGCTTGTTAGGTAGGTATATATTAGCAAAGGTGTAGAGCATTCCTGCGATGGTTCCCTTCACATATAGGAAGCGATCCTGCCCATCCAGTATGCTATCCAATCTCTGGAACCCCAAATCCGCCGCCACCAAGTTAGCCACTCCTGTCTTGCGTGCCATTACATGATCACAGAAGTAGTTTGCTGGGTAGAATTTACTTTGTAGCTTGGGGGCAGCATCCTTTCGGAAATGTGTTTCCTGTATCAATGCGACTGATATGCGACGTTTCCTTAGTTCCCTAAGCAAGTGAGTCCGTCTTTCCGGTATATTTAACCCTCTACAATTAAGGGTGAGGACAGTCAGGGGAGCGGGGCAGTACGCATCAGCGCTCCCATGCCCATCATTATTGTCCATTGCTGTATCTGTTTCTCCCGCCTCCTCCACCCTATCCCCCCACCCTTTGCACCAGGGAGACCCCCGCGGCCCCTCGACTCAGATCAGAGATTCAATAAGAGAGGCAAGACCGGATCGGCCCAGGGACAGGGTAGGCAAGACTGCGCAGAGTAGTGGAAGCGGGGGAATGGGGAGAGGAGAGAGATGAAGAGAGATGAAGAGAGATGAGAAAGGGGAAGAGAGAAAGAGAAAAAGAAGATAAAGAGCGAGTTGCCTGTTTCTGCAGGCACTGCAGCCGAGACTAGGTACATCTCGATTATGCCACCTCCTCTGTGGAGGTGCCTCATGCTGCGACAGGGAGCGTTGGGACCCCGCCCCGGTAACCAGACCAGGTGTCGGGGGGACCCAGGGCCCTGCCGTCCAAGGAAAAGCATGAGTGTAGTTTGAGGTGCCCGGTCCGACCCCGACCTACGAGTTAAGTGTGAGTGAGTTCGTGGGTAGTCTCCCCACACCGCCCCCCATCCAGTGCAGTTTATTAGTGTCATGTAGAGCGATCCATTTCCATATTTAACATTAATAAGTAACAGTGTAACAAGGTAAACATATATACATCACATTAAAATTGCTGTACCTCGGTTCCCCTCTCACCATCCCCTGGGCATAGTCCTCACATATTTCAGTCTTCTATGTCCTGTTTCCCCTACCCCACCTCATTCTTCACCCTCCTGCCATTGCTCCTTCTCCCTTTCTATACCTCCATGCCCTATTAGTGCTGCGAGCATTTCGAGATCCCGCCCCACCTCGTCCCCTGTATTTTCCAGCTATCTGTCCCCAACTATGGTGTGTGTTCCATTGATGTTTTATGGAGACAGGGTTCAGGATCTGATAAATAGGTTATCACAATGCAATACTTAGAGCGTTAGTTAGCCTGTGTTGAGGGTCAACAGAGGGTGTATCCGTTATCGTGGGGATAGTTACCCTCGGGGGATCCATGTCAGTTAGGCGAAAATGTACTCGCCCCAGGTGCTATCCTATGTATAAACTACCTATCCTCCCAGTGTGGCTATTTCACCCTTACACCTCCCCCCAACCCATGGCTCCTTTGGTGCCTTTTGCTACAGCACCTCTCGTTCCCTAATGGAGCCCCGCCATTGGCCAATCCACCCGGGGGTCACTGATAGGCAGTTCCCTATGCATCTGCCTCCCATCACCTTTATCCCCACCCTTTCTGATTAACCTGCGTTTTAACGACACTGGCGCTGAGTATGCAATGCAGTAACGGTGTGGTTAATAGCAATGTATGGAATTATAAAGAGATTAATTTCGCTGGTACTGCTGGGGGGAAATTCCCCCTTGCACCCCATAACCTGTTCAAAGGGTGGAGCGGTACGATGGTATGTCCATGCTCTACACCTCGTTGGGCCACAGGCCCCATGCAAGCATGTGCTGTCCCCATTGTCTCAATAGTAATGTGCAGGCCGATGGGGGCACTGAGACGTGGATCGGTAGTCCCCAATTCCCAAACCACTCGCCCGCTGCTTCTCTCCTGAGTGAGTTCATGCATGGGCAGTTCCTCCCAAGTACCCCCACCCAAAGCCCTGGTAACCAGGCGTTTACTCCAGAGACCCCCCAATTCACATGGCTCGTAAGATAGAGTCTTTCCAGGTCTCCCCCCCATGGGGTGGCATTAGTTAGGTGGGTGGTTCATTCCCTGACTGTAGGGGAATAGGCTAGGGCCCATCCGGCTGCACTGTTAATTCCCTGCTTTATACTATGGTACACGAGGTGCCTTTGATCCCCAAGTCGTTCCCATGCCCACACCTCCCAAGAGAGTCTCGTTATATGCCCCCTAGTTGTCGCGGTGGAGACCGCGAGTTTGTAGGCCCGTTTGCTGTCCAGGAGAAGTATAGTCAGGTCAGGTGGGGTAGGAGGGGCCGAGTTTTTGTAAGGCAGTGAGGTACTTACTCCGCAGGGTTCCTGGGTCCCTGTCTTCGCCTTTGGAGCGGCTCTGAGGAGCGTTGGCCTGTAGTATAAGCTTGAATAGGCTTGTGAGAAGCTCTTCTAAGTTTTCACCTCTCTCAGCTTCAGGGATTCCCCTGATTCGTATGTTGCACCTCCGGCCTCTATTATCGAGGTCTTCTAAATGTCTGCGCATGTGTAAGAGCAGGTCCCCCTGTCTGGCTATGGCAGTGTCAGATGCCGCTAATCTTGCATTTTGGGCCTCAGTGGTGGCCTCTAGAGACTCTATGCGATTTGCATGTGTGCTCACCTGCGCCCGGATTCCCGCCATCTCCGCCCGCAGGGCGTCCTGAATGGTGGTAGTGAGGGTCAGCAGGTCAGCTTTAGTGGCCATGGCCACCGCCATTGTCCTCAGCTCGTCGCTGATCCGCTCCAGGGTTGCGGGGTCACCACCCGCCGTCGAGACAGGTGATCGTGGGGCTGGGCTCGGGCTATCAGGCCCGCCATCATTCCCACGTGGTGGGTGCAGGAAACCATCCATTGTGCCCTGTTGTGGACCTGGTTGCGGGTCCCTCGGGTTCTGGGAGTGTTCCGTGCGGTGGTTGCGACCCATTGGATCACTGCAGCGTATTAGGGATTGCATTCTGGGGCTTGGTGTGGCGAAGCCCAGAGATTAAGCAGCCATCTTGGTCGGTGTCTAGACCACACCCCAGTAGTCCCGCGAGTTGAAGCGGGGTGGCTGAGGAAAGTTAGTAACTGGAGGGGGTGCTGGCGTGCGGTGCGTCGGGGTTTGGTAGATGGTTGCTGCTGAGGGTGCTGCTGGTCAGTACTCCACTCTGGCAGGAGTCTTAGTGGTAGCATTGTCCAGTTTGCGGGCATCCGTATACTCATCTGCCAGGCCGGCTGCTTCATGCAGGGTGGAGGGTTTACGATCCCGGACCCACTCTCTGACCCCTGGGTATAACTTTTCAAAGCAATGTTCCAGCCGGAACATCTGTAGCACCTCTTCCCCGGATACAGCTTGGCACCCTGCCATCCAGTGAGCTGCTGTGCGGTGTACCCTACATGCCCATTCAACGTAGGAATCCCCGGCTAGTTTAACAGTGTCTCTGAACCGCCTCCGGTATGCCTCTGGTGTGACAGCATACCTGGAGAGCAGAGCTTCTTTTACGGCAACATAATCCCCGATCTCCTCGTCAGGAATGGCCCGAAAAGCCTCACTGGCCCGGCCGGATAACTTTCCGGACAATATAGTGACCCAGTCTTCGGCGGGTACCTTGTGTAGGACACATTGCCTCTCAAAATCAGCAAGGTACCCATCAATCTCTCCTTCTGTCTCAATGAAGGGTTTAAACGCTGCAAACTGCACCTTTCTCTTTTCCACCGGGGTTGCTGTGACTTGAGCTGCTGCAGCGCTGCTTTGGCAGAGTAGGTTGGCCTCCACAGCTGCTATGACCCGGTCGATGATCTCTGTAGTCGGGTTGGGACCATAATGTGCCAGTCTGATTCTAACCGCCTGGTCAAAACTTGCCTCTTCGGGGGTTCTACCAGATGTGCTGGGCCCATTGGTTCCTTCAGCCCCTGGTACTCCATCCATTTCGGTCAGTATGGCAATAATCTCCCTCTTCCTGAGGTTACTGGCTTCTCTGCCTCTTTGTTCTAGCAGGTCTTTAAGGGTAGCTCTTTTCAGCCTTTCATACGGTATTTCCATTAATTCTGGATGTTTAGTTGTCTCTCTGGGCGATGAGGATCATCCCGTCGCTTGTCACCAGTTGTTAAGACACTCCCAGCTTAAATGAGTGAAACCGCTGTTTAGTTGATCTTCCCCTTTAGAGACACAGGCGCTGTTGCTGTAGACCGCCAAACTCCCGAACGGAGTATAAGGGAATGCTTCAAACTCCAGAACAAAGAATCAGCCGAACTCCTTCTCTCCCAGAACAGGCAAAATAATACTTCCAAGTAGCAATCCCCTACCAAGCTCCGTCTTGAGGGTAAAACAGGAATCTGCTTTAATGAGGGCTACCTGCCCGGTATTTATGCAGGTCTCCCACCTGGTGGACACTCCCCTAGGGGACCAGATGGAAGACTGGGATACATAATGTACAGTAGCCAATCACAGTGGCTCAGGTATAAACACTCCCATTTGCACAAGTAAATCCCTCCTCTCTATCCTGGAGATAATTGGGAAGAAATCCAATTATCTCCAGGAATAGAGGCGAACCGCCATTTTCCATGGTATAATAAAAACACATAAAAATCCATAACTGTAAAACTACCGAATGCATTTAATTCGTGTAACGTATCCACAGATAGCCTGGATCTGAGCGCACATTACTACCGAATAGCGCTCAGACCCAAGGCACACAGTTCAATCGCCATGGAGTCAAAGTCTTTCACATTGTTCTTTTGGTATACGATTGACTCCATGGGACGGCTATCTGGGTTAAGTCCATTTGTATAATAAAAGTCCCGAACGGACCGGCATTCGCATGCCCGATGACAAGAAGGGCGGTCGGCAGTTTCAGCGGTGTTCGGTAGAAAAAGTGTCCATTTGGAGTTCCATAAGTTCCTTGTCAAACACCGCTGTTCATTCGCGTGTTTAAAATGGCCGCCGCCTCGTGGTCGACATCCGAACGACGACCACCCTGCATACGGTTCGCATGAAGAGGTCTTCAGTTAACCACAACGTTCTAATTGAGGCCAATAGATTAACCAGCAGCACACTTCTCTTCTGGTTGGCCGTCCGTTCTGCAGTTTTATTCGGTATAACTGGAAATAAACGAACAGGGACATACGGGCAGGTAGTTCCATGGATGTATACAAAATAGACGAACCAGCAAATAGTACTTAGACAGATGGATCTGTCACACCTGTACATTGGGGGCACTGTTGTACTCGGGAGATGTTGCTGAACACATAATGGGTTTTTCTAAAAATCCATGCCTAAAGTACCGTATATACTCGAGTATAAGCCGAGTTTTTCAGCACATTTTTTGTGCTGAAAAACCCCAACTCGGCTTATACTCGAGTCAGTCTGTATTATGGCAAGTTACATTGCCATAATACAGACTGGGGGCTGGCAGAGCTGTTACTTACCTCTCCTGCAGCTCCTGTCAGCTCTCTCCTCCTCCACGCCGGTCCGTGCAGCTCTTCTCTCAGCTCCCAGTGTAAGTCTCGCGAGAGCCGCACTATGACCCCGCGGCTCTCGCGAGACTTACACTGGGAGCTGAGAGAAGAGCTGCACGGACCGGCGTGGAGGAGGAGAGAGCTGACAGGAGCTGCAGGAGAGGTAAGTAACAGCTCTGCCAGCCTCCCTCCTCCCCCCACTGAACTGCCAATGCCACTGGACCACCAGGGAAGGAGAGCCCCCCTCCCTGCCATGTATCAAGCAGGGAGGGGGGATGAAAAATTAATAAATTAATAATAAAATAACAACAAAATATTAATAAAACAAAAAAATTATTAAAATTATTTAATAAAAATAATAATAAAAATGCCCACCCCCCACCAAGGCTCTGCAACACACACACACATACTGCACACACACACTGCACTCTCATACACTGCATTCATACACACACACTGCATTCATACACTGCATTCATACACACACACACTGCATTCATACACACACACAGCACACACACACACACAGCACTCATACACACACACACTGCACACACACACTGCACTCACACACACTGCACTCACACACACACACCGCACTCACACACACCGCACTCACACACACCGCACTCACACACACTGCATTCATTCACACACACACTGCACTCATACACTGCATTCATACACACACACACTGCATTCATACACACACTGCACTCATACACACACTGCACTCACACACACTGCACTCATTATATACACACACACCGTAAATAAATATTCAATTGATATAATTTTTTTAGGATCTAATTTTATTTAGAAATTTACCAGTAGCTGCATTTCCCACCCTAGTCTTATAATCGAGTCAATAAGTTTTCCCAGTTTTTTGGGGTAAAATTAGGGGCCTCGGCTTATATTCGGGTCGGCTTATACTCGAGTATATACGGTACAATGTGAGAGAAAAATAACAAAAAAAAAACGACTATCCAAAAGTTTGACAAAGGCTGGTGGTAGAGTTAGTGCATGGAAAGTGTTAAAATACCACCATATGAAATACCCTAGGGTGTCTACTTTTCAAAAATATATGGTTTGATGGCAGTAACCCTTAAAGTTCTCAGTACATATATTCTTAAATTGCTATGTGTCTCAAAAAAAAAAATCACCAAATATTTTTTTTTTTTAATTTGGCATAGATTGGTGGTAATATCGCTGCATGAAAAGATTCAAAATACCCCAGGTTTAATACCTTAGGTTGTCTTCTTTTAAAAAATATATACATGTGAAGGGTTATTCGGGGATTCCTGACAGAGATCAGTGTTACAATGTAAAAATTGGTTTGGAAATGGCAAAGTGCTACATGTGCTTATAGCCCTATAACTTTGCAAAAAAAGCTAAGAACATGCTAACATTGGGTATTTCTAAACTCAGGACAAAATTTAGAAACTATTTAGCATGAGTGTTTTTTGGCAGTTGTAGATGCGTAACAGATTTTGGGGGTCAAAGTTCAAAAAAGTGTGTTATTTTCAATTTTTTCATCATATTTTATAATTTTTTATAGTAAATTATATGATATGATGAAAATAATGGTATCTTTAGAAAGACCATTTAATGGTGAGAAAAACAGTATATAATATGTGGGTACAGTAAATGAGTAAGAGGAAATTTACAGCTAAACACAAACACCACAGAAATGTAAAAAGAGCCCTGGTCCCAAGGGTAAGAAAATTGAAAAACGGCCTGGTCACTAAGGGGTTAAACATCTGTACAGCCTCTGATAAAACCACTTCTTTTGGCAGAGAATTCAGTGGGTAGTGAGGTACTGTTCTTAGACTAAGTCTCCTTTATTCCAGTCTAAACGCATGACCTTGTGTCCTATGTGTAGTCTTGTTTGTGAATAGATTTCCAGACAATAGTTTGTAGTGGCCCCGGATATATTTGTATAATGTTATCATATCCCCTTTGAGGTGCCATTTTTCTAAACTAATTGGTAAATTGCTTAATGATCACAATTCAATTCCTTGGTTCAAATTTTACTAAGACAAGCGTGAGCTATGCCATCAGTTTTGGACACAGGATTGGTGCATTGGAGGTACAGGTTGAAATTGGTGTTATCTTTTTGTAAATTGGGATTTAAGTCACTACTTGTTATGACATCCTTTTTAAAGCTAATTACTTTATGGATTGGGAGATTAAATTGTATTACAATTAATGTTTTAACATAGTTGCTTTTTTTTCTTCGAGGTTCTCCCCCTTCTTCTTTCCAGGAGGAACCTAGAGTCTCTAGAGAGGGTCGTTGATACCTTTTTTCGCATAATAAAATACATGTTTGACCAGAAATATGCTTTATAGGCCTAAATTGGTGCATGTGTGGGGTTCAGAATCTTCCATAGTGTTGTACTATTGGCTGAAATGGTTTTTGGCACGTGCCGCCAGTGGAGAGGAGATTCGTCCTTTTTACATGTGGCTCGACAAAACCCATAGAGCCCT